TAATATCTCCTCGAACAAAACAGTATTTCCTTGAACAAAGCAAATATCCCCTCGAACAAAATTATATTTCCTCGAATAAATCAAACAATTCTATGAACAAATCAAATATTATCTCGAGCGAATCAATTAATTCTCCTCAAATGAATCGAATAATCGCCCCAATTAGGTCAAATAATCATCCGAAAATAAATATCATAATCGCTCGAGTAAATGAAATATGTCCTCCATGAATAATCAAATACTCCTCCACAAATTAATCAAATAATCTTCACGAATGTATAAAATAGCCTCCTCGAATAAGTCACATAATTACTCAAATGAAACAAATAATTCTTCTCAAATCAAATAATTCTCACGAATATATCAAATATATCCACCAACGAATCAAATAATCCTCGATCAAATTGAATATATCACGAATAAATCACATGATGCCTCATCGACCATATCAAATATTATCCACGCATAAACCTCATAATTCCACGAGTCAATCAAACGATTATCCATTTTTTTTTATTTAAATGTCCTCCATTCGATGATTTAAATTTATCTCATACCTTTTAATGAGAATTATATCTCAAATTTACCTCCGATTGCAATCCCGTCCACGTTAAATAGTCTTGAATTATTCTCGAACTCAAAGCGGAGTTGCTGGATCAGTCTGGCCAGCTCGAATCGCTGTTGGACCCTTTGGACCAGTTTGGTGGCTGCTTGGGGGGTGGCTGGGGAGTTTGGGCACCTTATGGGCTATACACAACGCGCTGGGCCGCGCTGATATGGGCTGGGAGGGCGCGGCCCAAGAGAGGAGGATGTGGGCTAGTGCTGGACCGGAAACGGGCTCTGCGCGGGCCAAATATGAGTAGAAAGCGGGCTAGGAGAGCAGCTGAAGGGCGCGGGCTAGACGGGCTATTCGCGGGCTGAGTGCTGAGTGGAAAGACGGGCTGCGCGGGCTGGGCGCGGCCCGCGCGCTGGGACTGAAATGATGTTGGGCCACGGGCTGGGTGGGCAGGTTGGGCCGCGGATGATGTAGTGGGCCGATCGCACGCTGGGCTTCCTCAGCGAGAAATGTGCTTCGCCTGCAGATCATCGAAACTTGGGCCCTTCGGACGCGGGCTGGGTTACGCGGGCCAAGTCCAGGTGAGATGGGTCGCGCACAGATCTGCAGACCCGGATGACCAGCGAGCTCGCCGTGGACTCAACAGAAATATCTGCCGGAAAGAGGAACGCCGGATTCGGTGAAGGTGGACATCCGTGCGTGCGCCACGGCGAGGGGAACTCAGTGGTGCCGTTCGATTGGAGCGGTTTGCCGGAAATCAACGGGAAATTGGAGAAAAAGACCGGCGGTTGACCGAAAATTCTTAGATCTAAAAGTTTTGACCGTGAAATTGACGACCCTCCGGTAAAAATTCTTGCGTGAAATTGCAAGTGTAGAACGACCTTGACGAGAGCTTCACGATGGTGTAAGTCTTTTTCAGATCGGACAACTTTTGTCGGCGGACGGCGGCGGCGCCGGCGCCGGCGGTCAGCGGCGTGAGGGAAAGGTCAGCAACTGGAGATTCGCCTCGTCGAGAGGATTCCGGTGGTACCCTCGGATTTTTCATAGCCCTCTCGGATTGTCGGAAAAACGCCTTTGAATGTTCGATTTTGACCAAATTTTTGCTAGATCTGGAAACTTTGACTGCGAAATTGAAGGTCTTCCCGAAAGAGTTTTTGTGTGAAATTTTAAGGGTAGAATCACCTTGAGGAGATGTTTCCAATGATGTAAACGATTTTCAGATCGGAGCACGTTTTCCGGCGGCCGCCGGCGGAGGTGGCGGCCGGCGGTGGCGGCGACCGGTGGAGAAGAAGGAGGTTTTTCGATTTTTTCAGTCGGAACTCCGCTTGACTTTTTTTACGGGTCCCCACAGACGGCGCCAATGAAGTGAATAAGATTCACCCGGGCTCCTTCAACTCGAACCGGCCTCCGTACC